GTATTACATTGCCTTTGAATATCTTTTGATGTGCTTCTATTTTACAGTCCACTAAGAACATTTGCCTAAATTTTGTTTGCTTCTTGTTTTGTTTTGTTTTTTTTTAAATTCCTCTGAGTCTTTCATCAGTTGTTTGTGGGTTGCTTCAATTGCTTTTTCTTAGTTAGTGTATGACTTTTTTTTCCTCCAGTGAAAAGTAGTACCTGCTTCCATTCTGCAAACCTAAATAGTCTTTCTAGATGTCTTCCTATTGCTGCCTAATTTCATACACCATCTAGATACTGATTTGTTCCTACTCTATGGCTGCTCAGCCGTTTTGACTGATATCCTTCTCTATGTGTATAACTGTTCTGTAAAATGTAGAACTTCAAGGATGAAAAGACTTCCATTGTTTATAATACCCAAACAAATATTTGAGGGATATAGTATTGATGGTCTGCACAAGGTCACAAGATTGTTCTGCTTTGTTGTTTTGCTGTTTGTTTGTTTGTTTGTTTGTTTGTTTTTCTTCTTGGTATTGCATTTCTCGAAGATTTATATCAGGAGTGTTTGCTTTTGTTTTGCCTTTTGTATTTTATAGTTTTATATATCAGAATAGACTTGCAGAATAACAGTACTGTTGTTTTTGCCTTAAGCTATCCAGCGATGCAATTTCTGCTTAGTTGTTCATTTTCAGAAATCAGTGGTCTGAAGATGTAATAAGCAAATGATAACTTTCATCTAACAGTATATATTGAATGGAAAGAAATATGTGAGGGAATTGAGCAAATGTGCAGGTGGGGTTGATAAAACAGCCCTCTGAGAGTGCAAAATGGAATTACACGAGGCTGTCTTCTGAATTTAGGTTGCAAACAATTACACTTTCCTGGTTATATTTCAGCATCATAACTGCAATTACATTTTAATTCTGTGTATTTTGGAGTATGTGAGTATTGGACCTAATGCTCAGTTGAGGCCAAAACAGGTTACAGTGCTTCATGTTCTTGTTCCTGACCTCTAAATAAGTCTGATTTACTGGTAGCCAGCTGGATATACCACTGACAATTAATATTGACGGGGTTGATCGTGGGTAGTCAGTATGGAGATCTTATGAAATGGGCACCTGATCAGAGCATCCTGATGGGAATTTATACAAAGCCCTGTTGAAGTGATGTGGTTTCTGTGGCGTTGCTGTGCTTGAGTGCAGAGCTTCTGTGCAGTATAGCTGCATACCCTGAGTTTTCTCATAAAATACCTATTGATCAGTATGTGCAAACATCCTCGGCATAGGCTGTCTGGTAATCCACAGCTGTCCTGATTTTGTTGTGTTTCTAAGCAAGTAGGATCTGGAATTAGATGGTCCATAAGGTCCCTTCCAACCCAAACCATTCTGTGATTCTGTGATCCTGATCTATGGGGAACGTGAAAATGGGTGAGTGATGTAAGAGGGTTTGCAAGTGGAATGTGAAAATAATTTCTGAACAGATGTACAACATGCATTTAAAACAACATACGCATAAAACATACATTAAAACCATAAATCCATATACACATCTGTATTAGTTCAATGACTTAATGTGGTGTTCTCCCATCTAATAGAGCTTTTTGATGGTTTTGGAAACAGTGTTTCACTGGGAATTAAAGTTAGTTGTGTATTCCATAAATCTAACTGTAAACTGTGTGATCTGTTTTAAAGTATGCTTGAGTATTATCTGCATTTTAACACCTAAATAAATGCATTATTTCTATATTTTATGTATTAAGTGTAACATGGTGTATCTTTAAGTGTATTAAGTGTATCTTTATAAAAACTATATTTTGTTAAATATTCTGTTAAGCATTTCAATGAAAGAACACTAATGAAAAGATCAAAAAAGATCAAAAAAGATCTTAATGCTCTCCTCCTCTGTGAGGAGAGCATTAAGACATTCATACAAAGGTCACTTAGAGGAACTGTAAGCTTTGATGAGACTTTATTATTTTGCTGACAAGGTCAATTTGATATTGATCAGCTGGGTGTTTTGTTTAGTTACTTGAAGGCCAGTTATTTGAAGAAACCCTTGTAAACATCCAGGCAATATTCTTTAAATTCCTGGTTTACTCCAGCATTTTGGGTTGTTTATTGAGTTGTCTTTCTCCAAAAAAATATGGAATAAGGTCAAGTATTTGATTGCCAGTGTTTAAATTCAACTTACCATAACTCACCATCATTCATTAAATGTAAAGGAATCTCTTGCTGCAGAAAAGCTTGAAGATGTGGTCAGTATTTTGTTGTGTGTTCCTGGTTTGTAAAAGCATTTTGTGTTGAAAAATTTTATGAAGTATTTTTCCAGCTCTTGCAAATGATTTATCACCTCCTTGCACATCAGGCCAGGTAGCTGTGGCTTTATGGCACATTAATGCCTTAAGGAAAACTAAAAGAAGCATAAGCACAGTCATCAGGCGGAAGGAAGCCAGAGCTTCCCATGACACCTGAGGCTCTGGGCTGTTGGTGCCAGTAGCACTGGCATGGGGTGGGAAGGGGAGAGTTGGCTGGACAGGCTGCAATTGGTCTTCCTTCTGACTTTTTTTTCTATTGTTGTTATTTTACACCAGTGTGCTCTAAAACTGCCCTGATGAGCTCAGTTTGTCAGGTTTGCTGTGCTTTCTGAAGAGGGACACACTGCATGTGTCTGAGGCGCCGCGCTTGCTGCTCCATGGCAAAATTTCTCTTGTCTCCTGCATCTTCTTGGTAGAGGCCCTTATAATTCCTCCTCATTTTTCCCTGATTTCTCCAGCATCATTTCCATGTGTTGTGTCAGACAGGATGTGTGGGGAGGCTTTTCCCTGTCAGTAACCATCTCTACAGAGCCATCAGGTAATCTTTTAAGCCCACCTTGTGCCTGTAAGTCACGACACCTTTCCACTCATAAAGTATTAAAGCAACTCATAAAGTAAGTACTTCTTTGGGAAATGTTGGCAAATAACAGCGCATTATTTAGGCACATAGCTTTTGAAAAGCAAATAGCACTTAGTAGGAACTTGTCTACAAAAGCATCTTAACACCAACTTGATACAGTGCAATCAATCCTGAGCACAAAACCTTGAGCTTGCTGTTGAAACCCCAGCACGTTTGCCCACCAGCTTGTCTCTAGCAGACAGGCAGCTTGCTCAGCTTGGCTCTTTAGTTCTCCTTTTCTCTCTTGAGGAGCTTTAATTGACTTGGGTGCTTTGAAACCGACTTTGTTGTGTAAGAGATCTGAACTTTATATATACATGTACATTTGTACAATATATACATGCTAAAGCTCTTTATTCAGATGCTGTGTTGCATTTATTTCTGGAGAGCTTTTCCATCTCAGGTTAAACAAAAGGATAACTTCCCCGAGAGTCTGTTTCAAGCAAAGCCGTGTCTTTAACCTCTTTCTGCACATGGTGGATGTAAGAGCAGGGCAGGGCAGGCTCACCACGCTGCCCCCACTGCAGAGCTCTCCCCTCCTGCCATGCCACCGGGATCAGCAGGCCTGGCTTTTGCTGTGTCAGAAGCCTTATTTGTTCTCTCCTTGCTCCATGCACTGTGTTTTTGCCACTCCTGCTCGGGATGCCAATCTTTTCACAAGCACTGGGAGCCACACAAGCAGGAGATGAACTTTTGCTGTGCTAGAACACAGTAACAGCTGCCATCAGTGATTTTTCAAGACTTCAGTCAATTTCAGAAGTTAAATTCATCTCTGTAGTCCTCTAACAAAACGTGCTTTCTGTAATGTTTTTGTTTCTCTTTTGTCTCTTTTCTCTTTTTCTGTGGTCACTTTTTGGAGTTTCAGGTAGCACACTCGCAGCTGGGGACATGCGGAGTTGCAGGTCCCTGGTGCACCTGGGGGCAGTTGGGCTGATACCAGATCAGGCATTAAATTACTTCTCTCTGCTGCTGATCTTACAGTCATTACAAAGCTGCCAGCAATTGCTTTTTTATTAAGCAAAATCTCCAAATTTCTATGGCTTTGGTCCTTCAGCATTGATATTAACAGCCGCCTTTCTTGTTATGTTTAGTTTTCTAGGTTAATAGCATCAGTTAATATATAAAGAAAAAACAAACAAACAAAAAAAAACAAGCTTGCTTTACCAGAGCTAACTGCCTGTGAACTGTACTTCTGCTGTAGAAGGTGTTCCATGCACCCCTGTCATCTCATCGCAGAGCTGGCATTAAAATGCGCGATGGGAACAGCTTCATGAAAGCAAGGTTGCAGAGCAAGTGCACAGGTTGCATGTGCATCTGCAGGCCACTTGTTTGTAATGATATTGGATTTGAACATAATTTCAATGATATTCCCAACTGCAAGCTGCATCTTGGAAGGTTTCACTGAGGATCAGTGTGGCCCCCACATCAGTAAGAGTTTCAATGGGATGTGGAGGAAAAAGAGGGTTGTGCTTCAAGGTGGAAGCTTCTTCTTGAAATGGCCACACAATCTGAAAGGGCAATGACCTCCTTCTGAACTAGTGTGCTCTCGCAGAGTAACAGGGGGCATATTACTTGTTTTTACTAAGTCCTGATGGTTTTCTAAGCTGTGAAGCCTATTATTCTTCACTAAATGTCATTTTATTTACAGGAGAGTACTTCAAAACAATTAACTTCCTGGTTTCTATACTTCATATTTTAAAAGACATTAAGATGTTATTTTCACTTAAGATGAATGTCCACCTCTTTAGAGAAGTAGTAACTGTTCCATCCTAGCTTTAATACCAAATAGGTGGTTTTGTAACATACTCTATGCAATAACTTTGCACAGTCATTGCTTGGTGTAGTGCGATAGTACTTAAGATTTGGGGATTTTGTTTGTTTGTTTCTCAAGTTATTGTTATTTTAATATCATTTTTAAAGAGTAAGACAGTAAAATTAGACATATTCAGATTCTTTCCTTGGTTGTGGTGATATAAATACAATTTAATTGGTTCATATCTACTAAAAATAAAATTGGGCCTTTGAGAGCTAAATATTTATATGTGATATCTGAAACTGATTATTGTTTGTATTTTTTCCCCAGGACTATTTCCTTAAGGATTTCCAGTTGCTTGTTTTCATGACTTTGAGCCTATTTAATCAGAGATGGAGCAGATGGACTGCAAACCCTACCAGCCACTGTCAAAAGTTAAACATGAAGTGGATTTAACTTACACAAGTTCTTCAGATGAAAGTGAAGATGGCAGAAAGCAAAGACAATCTTATGACTCAAGAGAAACTCTGAATGAATATAGCCAAGAGCTAAGACTTAATTATAACAGTCAGAACAGAAAAAGAAAAACTATTGACCAATCCACGCAAGGTAAATCATTTATTTTACCTACTAATTACAATAATGGCTTTTGATTACTCGCTATGAAACATATAATGATGTCAGCAGGCAAGCAGCCATTTTGTTTTCAAAAGCATGTGGTGATGACATACTTCTTACTGTGTTTTTTTTAACCATACTGCAATGTTAGAAGTATAGGAGTTTTTTTCAGGTACAAGAGCTTTTGTAGCAGTATGGACCAAGTGGCATTCAGCAGACCATCACGTGATAGCTACAGATAATTTTTTCTTTAGGAGTGGCTACTTTTCTCACTAGCATTGCCTAGTTAATTATTTACTACCTTTGCACGTGTTATGTGGATTTGGGTACAAAATCAAAGTTGATTTTGTAGGTTATTTCTGCATTATGTCTGCAATGAATTCAAATACAACAATCCTCTTAACAAAATCTGTAATCTTATAAGTAACCTGAAATATATAAAGTTTTATGAGTAAAACTAAAAATTATTGTGTATTGTAAGAAAAAAGCAGGTGGTTGAGTTCTTTTTGGTTGGTTGGTTTTAGCCTTTTGCAAGGTATGGACAGAACTCCAGAATAAACATTTGAGAGCTTCTGATGTTGCAGCCAAGGATAGGAAAAGCTCCCATTTAGATAAAGATATAGGCTGAAAACAGGTTAAAGTGGAAGGAAATGGGAAGAATTTACTGCAGCACTCCCTGACTGCTTCTCATGGTAATCCGTATGCTTCATTTAACACACTTTGTACAGAAAAGTGGCTTATCTGTTGCCTTTAGCTCCATCACAAATTCAGGAAGGGTGGTGGTGCAAGAAGAGTATTTTTAAGAATTGGTGTACTCGTTGGAAGCATAGAGTCTGTCCCCTTAAAGATAAAAGATCTCTGAGCAACCCCTGCCTGCTCTTCAAGGAAGTGGTTAAATTGATCCATTTTAGTGTGGCCACTATTTCTCAGCTAATAATTTCTGTACTTACTTTAAAAAAAAAAAAAAAGTCTTCCACTCCTGAGGCAGCCAAGTCTCTCCCAAATTTTCTGAGTATTAAAATAATTTATTTATTTTTTTTTGACAAACAAATCACAAATATGCTTTTGAAGATGGAAAAAAAAAGTTTCCTCTGTGATGTGTAAATTAATGCAAAAAATGAGAATTGTTGTGCTACATTTCTCTTACAGCCTTTCTGGTTTTATGGCAGATATTCTGAATCAAGCTACATTTGTAGTGCTGATGTTGTCTGAAGGTACCTGTAATTCATGGAAGAAATGATAGCTAGCTGCTAGAGATAGCCTCCATACATGTATATATGGTCCCTCCAGAGAGCTACAAAACTGCAGTATTGGGAAACAAAAAGTCACGAATACAAACCTCAACAAAGTAGTCTGTAGAAAACTTCACCACCATGTTTGGCTTATGACAAATGATCTTGCATTTGTCAGGAGAGTTTGGTTAACTAAGATGTGTCTGTGCTGCTGTGCTGGAGATGATGCAAATGTTCTTGTAGACCTACTTAAAGTAACTACCTTGCTCCTGACAACTCGAGCACTGAAAGCATTGCCTCTGCATTGTCAGGCCTCTGAAGAGCTCCTTGAGGACAGAGCTTTACTGATGCTGGGACCTGTGCTAGCTATAGCTCCACCAACTCAGACAAGTATGTAAGGGTTGTGATCGCTCTGCTCAGGCATAGGAAACCAGTCTGTGTGGCCTATGCTGAATTTATTCTTCCAGAACAGTGCCTCTAAAAGCAATCATGTTAATAATTTTGGAGAAATGGACAAATTAGTGTGCATTTCTGCAAGAAATTGTCAGGTGTGAACTTACCTCATTTATTCAGGACTGGTGTGTTAGGAACAAGATGGATGCTTTAGCATACCAAGTATTTTACACTCAACATTCTAAAATGATTTTATTGGAAATACATGGGCCAAGATTTTTCCAGGCAAATTAATTTTTAGGAGATATCACACGAATTTGCAGGTCTTCTATTTTACAAACGTTTGTATTTTCCTTCTTAGAAGCAACACAGTCTTGTACTGGCTCAAACAAGAGTATGAGGCTTGATGCTTACTTTTGCAGCAAAACTGTTGAGCCTATGCAGTAGTTTGCCAGTGTATAGGGCAGTGCTTAAATACTTGCTTACCTTGAGGCATCTTCTTACCTTAATTAAGTCTAGGTCTGTATGTTTTAAAGTAATATTTATTGAGCACAAAAGATCTTTTTTAAAACATACACGTGTATATTGGTTTGTGAGGTTGCAGTCAAACGTTGCTGTGCCAGAAGTCATGGTATTGTCCTCTGACAAATTCAGTTTGTTGCAACTGAGTTAGTAACTGCACTGCTAGATGTATCTGTTCAGCTTCTCATGAATTCATCTCTGTATCTCTGTGTTGATTTAAATCATATAGATTTGTCCTGCCACAAATTGAGCCCAAACGCTTGGCCTGGCAACCATCATTGCTTTGAAATGTAAAATGTGTTGAGTTCAAAATTCATGCAAGAGCAAAGAAAGTTGTAAAGCTGAGTGTAAAATTTCAGGCTGCAGCCAGAATTTGATTGATTGCAGTTCTAATGTGCTGTTTCCAAAAGGACAGCAAGAGTTCCTGGTGATTCTTGGTATTTGCTCAGTCAGTATTGAGAGGTTTAAAAAAAAAAAAAAAAAAAAAAAGCAGGTTCTGTTTTGAACTATGCAGCTGGCACAAATCCGTTAAACTGTATGTGGAATTTGTTTTATATGCATTCTTTTCTAAAATTCCTCCTCAGCACCATTAACAAACTTTTTCTCATGGTTGGTACATCCTTGGAATGTAAAAAACAACAACAACAACAACAACAGAAAACCCATGGTCCCTCAAAAAGGATTGTTCTGATTGTTCTGCAAGGAGAAAGCTGTAGCGTGAAATTGCTTCAGACCATCGTTGTCTGAAGAAAGAGTTATGGCTGAAAAAATTCTAAATGTTAAAAATTCTTTTTTTTTTTTCCTTTTTTTTTTTTAAGTTAAAGGGGCATCCCCAGTTTATCTGAAGGTATTCTTCTGTAGCTGCAAGCTGCAGTTGAAATAGTACCCAGTATTTGATGGATTGCAAAATTAGGGTAAAATCCATGAACTTCATGCATGAAAGGTGTGAGAATAGTTGAGAAAACAGGCACATAGTAACAGTCATGAATAAAGTGATAATGGTGATGAGTGAGACAGCAGTCAAACATGAATTCTAATGATGGAATGTGAGAAGAACACTTCAGAGTAAAAAATTAATAGAGAGAAGCTTGTACCAGGAACAAATATAGGTGTACATGTTTGTGCTGATTTTGTTTTTGTGAAAAGAATCATTAATTTAAATGTTTATGGAAACTGGAAGAATTTGTATCTGCATTAATGTCCATAAGGACATTTGTATTCTGCTACCTAACCACAGTAGCTTATATAGAATAGACTGGGCACTTCTGAATGTAGTAAATAGCTTCAAAATTAAATGTGATTTGTAGCTCAAAATATTGATACAGCTCAGCAATTTCTTGAAGGTTTTTGTTTGTTTTGTTACATTTACGAGCAGTTTGACTACTTCATTGTTACTGTCAATATTCAGGATTTATTTTTATGAAAACTTTTGATTGTAATCTGAGGTTATGTTGATTTATGATGTGTGGTATTTGTGTTTGCATATATAGACAATCTGTATAAACCAGAACTCTGCATAATGTGAACTCAAAGGAAATGTTTACAGAGGTCTCAGATATATCCTGCAGTATTGACTAACATTGCTAGTATTTTTGAAAACATATTTTCATGTCAAAGCTTTGTTTGAGAAGCTATGTGATCTTGGAAATTATAAGTTTCTTGGTTTTAAACATTGCAAACAATACCCAAATACAAAATACTTAACTTTTGCACTATTCTTATATTCCTTGCAATTCCTGAAGTTTTAGATCAAATCTTAACTCCTCAAAGATTTCTTAGTCATTTTTCACAAATATAATAGATAGCAATATGAAAGAAAAACTCAGCAGCCAATATGGAATCTATCACAAGCTTCATCTAGAACTTAATCTAATCTATTAATCATTTAAGCAATGATTCCTATACAGTATTCCTGAGGTCTAATATTGATGTCCATCCTGAAGCATGCAATACAAGATCAGTTGCATCTCTGGGGTTATTTGTGTCAGAACCTTGTAGTTAGCTGACAATTTAGACCTAACAACAGACACCACAGACTGTTCCAAGATGAATCAAGATTTGCTGGCCTAAGAACTCGGTATGAACAGGTACAAAATTCTCCTGACAGTGTCATTCTCTCCTGAAGATTCAGTGCTAATTGTATAATGAGAGCACTTTAAAATACATTTTTTTAATCACTGGAATGTTCAAACTCCTGTTTATCCGAAGATATGTAAATCTACAGTATCTCATCCTGGCAAGATGATGTTATGAAGTGATTTCCTGGCAGACCCAGTATCATATAGCTTGTGGATATTGGCAAACACAGCAAATTAACTCTAGGAAGAATTGGTAACACAGTGTTTTGTACTTGAAAGAGATGGGGTAGAATTGGCAAAAAAACACCAGAAATGTTCTTGGTAGAAAACTCATTGATGGACCTGGCTGCGAGGAAGAAAATTCTCACAAATGTACCAAACACATTTTCGCATTGATCTTATTTGTGACACATTTACATCATTAAAACTCTGTTTTCTTCTACAGCTTTCTGTGTTTCCACCAAAGTAAATATGAAAAGAGTTGTATTCCACAAATATTGGCCCTACAAAGGCTTTATTGCTTTTAGGATAATTATAGATTTGTAGAAAACACTGGCTTAGAGGAATGAATCCCTGATAGGATAAGCATCTGGGATTGAGTCATTGGCATGATCAAGTTTATTGATCGTTAACAAAATGAGCATACGGCAGTAAATTTCTGGTTAGACAAACGTGTATTTCCTGGCAAGATACATTGAACTGCATTATGGGCAAGGCAAACTGGATTTATTCCTAGGAAGAGAATCCAACAGCAAACATCTTACGG